TATTGTTTCGACTCTGTTGAAGCAGTTTGGGTAGTTTGTGATTATGAGATCCAGTGTGTTTGATTCTCTTGTTGGTTCCTCTACCATTTGTTGTAAGCCATGATCGTCCAGGATGTCAGTGAACTTATGGTGTATGTTGGTATGTTGTGTATTAGGCTTCAGTGATTTGGTTTTCCAGTCCCAGCCTGGTAGGTTGAAATCACCAGCCATGATGATTAAAGCATTTTTTATGTTGTTCGCTCTGGTAAGGCTCTTCTCAAATTCTAAGTACCCATTCTCGTTGGATGTTTTGGGGTTGTAGTATGAGCTCAAGTATATGGCTTTGTGTCCAATGAGTTCAAGTTTGCACCAGACAATTTCACAGTCAGTTTGTAGTTCAGGTACGGCTGTTGTTATATATGTATCTTTAATAGCTACTAATACGCCCCCTCCGCTACAGTTTCTGTCTTTCCGGAAGATGTTATATCCAGGAGGGAATATTTGACTGTCAGTGATCTTATTGTCTACCCATGTTTCGGTTCCAAAGATGATATCTGGGTTTGTGCTTTCTATGAGATTTAGTACTTGTCATAATATTGATGACTATGTGACGTGCATGTGTGGGTAAAATTTACAAATATATATTTACATAAAAAAATAAATAAAGAAATAATAACTTGTTTTTGATTTTCACTGTACATATAAGATAAAACTATTTACAAGGTGTTACAATTACATGGTGTAGTATTGGTTGAGAACAGATGTAGGAATCTGTTCTCTGAAGGCTTCAACTGTGGTGCACTGGACAGCAGTAACTGGTAAAAGGTCCCATAGGATGATTGTCCTTGGATAGAATGAGAATTTATATGAGTCTTTTTTTTGCCTGTATGTGCCTGAATGAGTGACTGTGAGTGTATTGTCTTGTTCGACTGTCTGGTGGTATTTACAAGTTCGTAGGGTATATTGCTACTTGGTGGTGTATAATTTTGAAGAAAAATATAAGCCTTGTTCTTATTCTTCTAAGTTCAAGCGTTGGCCAGTTGAGATGGTTAAGCATGTTTGTCACAGAGCTGGTGTTATGGTATCGATTGCATGTATACCTGGCTGCTCGTCTTTGGACCATTTCTATTTGTGATTTTTGGGATTTTGTATGTGGGTCCCAGATGCAGCTACCGTACTCTACCTTTGGTCTCACAAGTGAGATATAGGCCTTTTATTTAACTGACTGTGAGCTGACTTTAAGGTTTCTTTTGATAAAATTAAAGTGTTTAGTTGCATTTGCTGCGATGTTACTTATGCGTTTGTTAAATTTTAAATCAGTTTGTATTGTAAGATATTCAGTAGATGTTTCTTGTTGTAAAGTGTGCCCATGTAAGATGTAATCATATGGGAGAGGGGTTTTCATTGTTGTTACTTGGAGGACTGAACACTTGTCGGGATGGAAGGACATGCGCCAGTCTCTTCCCACTTTGCTGCTGCTGTTAGGTCTTCTTTGGCAAAGTCTTCTTCTTCTCAAATGCTTTGGCAAAGTCCATCACAATTACGTCAGTTTGAATGTTATCATTGCTATATTTTGCCAGTTCTTTTATGAATGATACCAACTGGGTTTCGCAAGATCTTGAGGAGCGAAACCCATGCTGTAGATCGTATTGAATGTTGTTATTTTCTAGATGTGCCATGATGTTACTTGCTAATATGTGCTCCATGATCTTTACATAGGATGCATGTTAGGGATATAGGCCTGTAGTGGATAGGATTATGTTTATCTCCCTTTTTAAATACTGGGCAGACGTTGGCATGCTTCCAGTCAGTAGGTATTTTTCCGGTGTTCAGGGATTTTTCGAAGATTATAAATGTTATTATGGGTGCGATGTCAGTACTAAGTTCTTTAAGCACACACCCATATATGCCATCTGGCCCTGTGGCCTTGTGTGGGTTAATCTTTTGTAAGAGTTTCAGTATGCCTCTCTCTGAAATTTGTATGTTGTTCATTTTTGGATGGTTAATAGAAATTGCCTTGTCAGGTATTGTTTCACTGGATGTTTCTGCTGATAATGACTTCTGAAATTGGCTGTTTAGTATATTGGCTTTTTCTTCGGTGTTATCAGTAAGTATGCCATCTTTTCTTAATGCTGCAATGCCTGAACTGTCATTTTTCATGTTTTTGATGTAACTGTACAAGTTTTTAGGTTGTCTTTTGATTATGTTGTTATCTGGTTCGTTTACTGGGAGATCAAATATCATGTTCTCGATGTAATTCCAGTAAGATCTTCTCATATCTGTTTGAATTGATTTTTTGAGATGCTTGTACTTTTTCTTCAGTTGTTCATTTTTTCTGCTCTTTTTATGAAGTCGTTTAGCTTTGTTGATGTCAATTTTAAGCTTGTTATTAACCCATGGTAATTTTTTCTTGTTGGTAACTATTTTGTTTGGGATATTTGCTTCTATTGATTGTGTTAGAGCTTCTGTGAATGTATTCCATAGAATATTTGAGGTTGATTCTTCAAATTGCTCTTTAATTTTGCATAAGAGTGTTCCTAAATCTGTTCTTATTTTACTCCAGTCAGCTTTGATATATTGGAGTACTTTAATTGGTTGTTTTTTGTTTCTTTTTAAAGATACATTGCATTCAGAATAGACAATGTCGTGGTCCGCATTCCCAATAGGGGGCATGGTTTCGGTCTTGTTAACTATGCTTGGTGTATTCGTGAGTAGGAGGTCGAGTATCCGGTCACCTCTAGTAGGCTTATTTACAATTTGCTCTAATGAAAGGTGATTTATGATGTTCCAACACTGTTGACAAAATTATATCTAAATATGACAATTTTATTGTTTAAGTATGACAGGCTTAATTGTGATAAAGAGTGCAATGATAAGAGAATTGTGTGATATTTTTAATTTAAAAACATTATTAAGAAAGCTACATGTTTTACAAAAATTGCTAAAGCAACCCTTTTAAATTCGATTTTTCTAAATTGTAATTGAGATTTAAAAAGAAGATATGTAATTTTGATACTGGTATAAGTGATGTCCACAATTTATATCGGTTTTAACTTTTATGTTCATATTGGGTTATATGATTGTCGGTCATCTCGATAATTAATTAGATGGCATTGTGTCTAAAGTATGCACGAAATGCTGATACATTATGACAAGTCCATGCATTGTTAATTGTTTCTTTTGAACTTTTTGTAATTTGAATATAAGTTTTAGTATGTTATAAATCACAATAAGAATTTAGGTCAGGACATGAATTTGACAGGTAATGAGATCTTTACACTAAATCCATTGGATGTTGGATGTGTACAGATTGATATTTGAGTCTTAGATACACGATTTTTTTATCAGTTGATATTGGCTTTGAACTAGCTTTCCGTTACTGTGAGTACTCTCGGATCTGCACTTTGTCTCTTTAAGGTTTTTGCCTGTTGTTTTTATGCTGTGTTTTGATCTGATGAGTTACACTTTTCAAATGACTTTGTTATGTTGTGCTGTTACACCCGGTTAGGGGTAGGTTGTGAGCCTGCAAACATGTATAACTCTGCCACGTAAACAGAAACTTTAACTTGTAAAAAGTAAAATAACAAAAATACCAAAACTCCAAGGAAAATTCAAAACAGAAAGTCCTTTATGAAATGGCAAAATCAAAAATTCAAAACACATAAAACTAATGGAAAACAACTGTCATATTCTGGACTTTGTACAGGCATTTCCTTATGTAGAAAATGGTGGATTAAACCTGGTTTTATAGCTAGCTAAATCTCTCACTTGTATGACAGTCGCATATAATTTCCTAATATTGACAATCATATAAAACTAATGTAAATTCAGAAATTATGGCAAGGTTTTTATTAATGCTAATAATGTGACTAGGTAACTATTGCAATATTAAGAACTAGCTTTCTGATACCAGATACATATAACTGTATGCAGACTTTCCTAAAATCGTAATAATTAATCTCACATTTTTGTCCTTTCTTCCACAATACCAATAATAAATGCACACACTAATTTATGAATTTACAGTATGCTAAGTTTCAAAGTCAATGAACCATGAAGAGGGTGCAGGGCCATAAAATCTCCATGGAAATGAGACTTGCAAGTGCTAAAACAACTGCATACCATATATCATTGACTTGAAATTAGTGGTTAATCTTAAACTGATATAATCACAAACTTTAATCTGTAAACTAAGCTTCACATTCAGTCAATAGACCATGACTGAGGGGGAGCCAAAAAAATGCGATGGAAATGAGATGTGCTTGTGTTAAAACATCTGCATACAAAATATCATTGACTTGCCACTTAAAGTTGGTCCCCTTAAACTGAATGAATTACAAACTAATACATGTAAACTAAGCAAAATTTTCAAAGTATATAGCAAAGACTGAGGGGTGGTACAAAACAATCTCCATGGAAATGAGATGTGCTAATGCTAATACAACTGCATACCAAATGTCATTGACCTACCACTCATGATTCCCCATAAATTGAACTAATCACAAACTTATACATTGTTGACCCCGATGCCATTAGAGCACGCCTAAGTCTTCGCCTTCGTTGAGGCAACACAAAAAATAGACAATTTTACCAAGAATTGAATTTGGCTGTTCTATTTACCTCCCTTTTGGTCATATAGCTCTTCTTATTACATCCATGACTCATATTTTTGGGTTTGAGCATACCTACTGAAGGTAAATCCAGAGAAGCGAAATTTATTAAATATTGTTTTCATCAGCAACCTCAACTGTGATTTTAAAACAAGCCAATAAACTCTTTTCAAGATTGCTTTAGTCTAATATGATCCACCACCTTTGTGTTTGTCTTTTCATTTTTGGCCATGGCGTTGTCAGTTTGTTTTCCATCTATGAGTTTGACTGTCCCTCTGGTATCTTTCGTCCCTCTTTTATAGAATTACTTACATTGCTTGTACATATTTAATATCTTTTTTCTAATTCATATGTCTTTCCTTTCAGACAAACAACAATTGTTGATAAGAATAGGCTCTAATGAGAAAAGTATTGACAAAATGATCTGATTTTTTAATTGACATGAAATGTACATTGATATACACTGTATTATACTCTCTCATACATTCCTCAAGTTTAAAGCACAAGTTTCAGTTTAAATATACATTATTTATAAAACATTCTGACATTAAAGCAAAGCAAATATTGTTAAAATTGTTGTAATTGTTGTATAAAACTTTTTCATAAAGAGCACTTAGAAATACACCTTTTATACAAGTATCACATGATTATTTAAAATTTGGTCACATGACCATCACATGATCTTTTAAAAAAAATACCAAGACCACATGATTAACTTGGATCTTCCTCACATTTTTATACTCACTTACTCAGAAGCATATTTACATGCACAGTTAATGAGTTATCCAATGTAAAATGCTATCTGGATACTTTATATACTGAGATTCATTATTCTTGTGGAGTACCAATTTTTGTTGTTTTCATAGATATTGGAAATACACAGATTTTAATGAACAAGAAGTACAAAAATCAAGAAAATCAAATATCCATGAAAATTTATTCTTTCCTTAATTCATGAGAATTCTCTCCAACAAAAATAATACAATCCACAGTTATCAGTTTCCATATTCTTATTATTCAAAAGATAATGACTTCTTCAGATGTCTTAATTAGAAATTATTTTTGAAGAAGCACCTTGATCTTATAAAGCATAATATGAGATAAATGAACAATTTTCATGTGTGGATGAAACACAAGCTTCAATGGATAAATATTGACCTATATCAACTGGTACATCATAATCAATGTATTTTTTAACACTAAATTTTTCTTTAAACTGTTGTAAATTACCAAAACTCTACTAAAATCTTTACCAGCAAGATAAACAAACTCATCAAAAAACCTTCTATTTTTGTTTCTATGTACTTATTAAAATAGACATTTGTATTCTCAATGGTTTTCCCACTTTCTTCTCTTAACTGCTGGTCGATATGAAAAAAAACAACAGTTTATCCAATGAAAGGCAGCGGTGACTTGTATAAATAGCCATTATCTAGCAACAAAGCCCACATCACAAATGAGAACTTAAAAGCTTTATTAACATACTGTGGATTCATATATTTTCGTGGATTGAGGAAAACTTGCATTTTCATGGATATTTGATTTCATGATTTTACCAATCTCTGCATACAAAGCCTACGGAAAATTTGTAATTCGTTGAACATTTGAATTCATAGTTTACTTGTACCCATGAAACCCACGAAAATTGGTATCCAACGAAAAATCATGAATCCACAGTAATACTTATTAACAGTACTCAATTTCAGTGATATGATTCAAAGCTCAATTTTGATCCCATGCAGCTTGTATTTTCTTGCATGTGAACTGCTTTTTAAGCAGAAAGTATAAAGACATTTTACAAAGGAAACACAAACAGTTGATTGCTATAACTTAGCAGCATTCTATCAAACAGGTCATGTCCATGTTCAGGTATTAATAAACTTCATTACAAACAATTGTTTCACATGAAAAGTGGAAAAAGTCTTGACTTTCATATTTATTTATTGACTGTTTCCTTAAAGTCCAGTTGTAAATATTTCGTGCATATTCAGTTTCAAATTTAAATAACAGTATCTTCAAAATTACAAGAAACATTTATATTTAATAAACATTCCAGCCGTCACATTAAATAAATTTGTAATTTCACCAGACACTGGATATTTGACAATACTACATTAAACAAAAGTATAAATTTCTGAAATTACAGTATCTCAAATTAATCCAAAATTAAAATATCTTAGTGATATTTTGCTATGAAGGAATCCAAAATATTTGAAGCAAATTTATATTTTTTATTTTAGACAATTGAAATAATATGATTGTCATTATGTTGAAAATTTCTTTATGCAAAGCACTATTGAACATTTACCCAAGATTTTTTTCTAAAAATGCCCTTCGAATACTAAGTAACCTAAACATGGACACAAATCATCAAACACCACATGGACATGTTCGGACATTCTAGTAAAATATTCAATTATCTTACAAGTCTCTCAAAATTATGCAAATGCATTAGTTTTCACCAATACAACTCAATAAATTACAAAAATGCTGATATTTGTTTATTACATTTAGTTATTAAATATGTACTATTTACATAGAGTATTATAAAGAACGACAGAAGAAAGAAAAAGCAAAGATTTCACTCATTTTCAATAAAATATAATCTTTTCCAAGTACACTTTTAATTTATTATTACATATCATATCAGACAAGAGAATATTATCTATGTGTTACCATGGTTACAAAAACACTTCTATTCTTTAGATACTAGTTCAATCTTATTTCTAAAACCATGGTGGCTTCATTTATAAATAAGAAATATTAGATAGAAAGAAAAAATCTTAAGCATAAATTATTTTTCCCATCAAAAGTAAGTTAACAGGGAAATATCATTTAAACTAAATAAAGGCACATCAAATAATCAATATAAGTTGTTTTTCTTCCAACTTTAGTAAAAGGGAAGGAACTCCTTAACAAAACATTTGCATATTCATCACATTTATTTTTTGCACAAAGTCATGACTTCTTATTACATAACTAACTAGAGTATTTTAATTTTTAAGCACAATTTTTTTTATATATATTTCAATTTGACCCATCACAAGACTAAAGAAATTCAAGATATAAAGGTGTAGATTTAATAAGATATTGGATTTTATCGTTCTTCATGAATTTATTTGGTTATTATGGAAACCTAAAATGGATATACTTGAAATGCGCTTACATTTATCATGTGACAACCCTGAATATTCAATGCTTAATATTCTGATAAACTATACACTACAGGACTAGTTCCTAATTCCTATTGGGCTTTTTTAGACCCTATATAACTTAAAATATCTAAATATTAAAACAGATGTGAATTTATGCATGTTTAATCTAGTCATAAGAATCATGTAAATTTTATCATTTTCTACTGAAAAAAATCACAACTCTGCCTCAAGTTATAAATCACAACTTTCTTGCAGGACTTTTCAATTTCTTGCTGTAAAATGTCATAAAAATCCAATATTTCATATATATATTATAAAAACTATCATTTGTCACAACTATGTGTACTTTTCCAGTACTCAAGAAATATAAGTCCTTGCAGTACTAGTACTTATATAACAGCTTCAAAAAAAGGATATCACCATTCAACCGTTTGAATCAACTGACCTTAAGCCTAATGCACATGTCCAATAGAATTTCTAAAAATCAATTTACTGACAATCCAAAAATCTACACATTAAGAATATATTTTATATAACTCACAGACTTGTGATGTCAATGACCTTCTGATAATTTCAATCAAATTTACTTACAGACTTATAATAAACAAAACTTTGATCTGAAAACGAACTTTCTGACAACAGGTCTTTTATATTTAGATCATATCTGAAACGTTTTTTTCATCAAAATTTCTTGTGTGAACTATTTTATCTATTGGTATTAAACTTTGCCTTTGATTTACCAACATCAGAAATCTTTATTTCAGAAACTATAAGGTTTAGTCCAGTTACAAATTATCTCAAGTCTGAAAACTAGTTCACATTGACGTACAATAGTAATTATATGGTCAGCACAAGTCAAATGTATTACTTTTTCTTATTAACTACTTACTCTTTCAAAGATAACTATAAACTTGCATGTTTCTAACATGATAATTACAGCACCAAAATTTGAGATAATTTTGTACTACTTTTTTCTGAAATTATGAGATGGGAATAACCTAATGACAAAAAAAATTCAAAGCAAAAAATTCTTTTTAAGAACAATTGTTAATGGCTTCATGTTGGTGGTATTTTTACACCAGAAAAGACAAGTTCAAGCAACCAAAAGAATGCTTAGGGCTTTTCTAGAATTTAACGCATGGGGGCATAGGAGGCACTTTTTAAGACCACGCCAACACATAAAAAAAAGTTTTCATTTCACTTATAATTCTATCAAAATTCTAAAGAAAATGCAACCACCTATATTAAATCAATTTGATGGCCTCCCATCCCCCCACCTGATAAATTTTGGAACAGCCCTTAATTTATTTTCATATGTCATGTCTTAAATATGCCTTAATATTTCTATAGTTATGATTCATACATTAACAATCAATATAAAAAGTACTGGTCCAATTACAAACATGGATTTAAAAATTTTGGTCCAAAATCATGATCAGAAGACTTCAAATATCTAACCATTCACATGTACATTTACGTGTATTTAATACACATGTACATTTATGTGTATTTAATACATATAACCTCATTTATAAACATCTTATTAACCACGTAGCACCAAAAAATCTCATTGCAAAAAAAATTTATCACATTTTCTTCTTCTGAAAGATGACATTTTGGTCTGATATCACACTTCAAGCTGTTTAGTTGGAATCTTCCATTTTAAATTATGCAGACGTCAGGTCTATTTTACATGGGTATAATGTAACTACGGCAACAATATCCTAGGCAGTGAAAGATGTAGGAATTTTATTTCCATTCATAAAATTGACATATGCAACAAGTCGCAATTTGTTCATTACAAATATGATAAAAAGCTGTGCCCTGAGAGCATGATACGCCCATCGCTTTTTCAAAGAATAAAGTTCCATAACTCCTCAATGTCATACCAGGAATTTAAAAAAAAAAATAAAGGGAAGTTATTTTAATAGATATAAACAATTCACCAAAGTTTCATGAAAACTGCTCAAAGCATTTTTGAGTTATTGTCCGAAAACTGGAAAATCCCCCTTTTTTAATGAATAAAACCTCATAACTCAAAAACGTAAAATCTAAAATTTATAAAAATGGAAAGGGAGCTCGAGTCAATAAATATAAACAATTCAGTTTCATGCAAATTGGTTAAAGGGTTTTTGAGTTATTGTATGACATGTTGACGACGGACGGACGGTATACCATAATACATCTGGTAAACTGGCGTATAAAAATAAGATGTGATACGATTGCCAATGAGACAACTCTCCACCAGAGACTAAATGACGAAAATGTTTGCAATTAGAGGTCACAGTAATGAGAAAACCAAAACAATATGTCTTTTACAACTTTTTCTAAAGTAAACTTAGGCCAAACAAAAAGGTATGTGTTCAGGGTTTCCTCCCTCGAGAAATAAGGAGTAAGTAATAGGATTTCTTATGAAATGTACATCATGTCAACCTGTGGTAGAAGAAGAGAATTGTAAAATCAATGTAATACTTAAATAATATCAAGAGTTCCTGAGAAATTAGTCTGAACAAAATAAAGAATCAAGTTGCTCAAGAATGACTCGAATGCTGTTACACAGTATTGTAATGCTGTTGCTGCAATATTATTAATAGGGTTCTAATTTTCATTAATTTATTCTTAAATAATTAGTTTTATCAATATTTAACCTATATCTTTCACTGCATAGATAGTATTACAGTTATGATGACAATCTGTAATTGCTGGACATACAATAACAATATTGGACCTGCCGGGGGAAAATAAATACATGTGCAATAAAGTATATACTTGTCTTCATGGCTTCATTGGATAGCCAGATATCTATTCAAATGGGAAATAAAACTGATAAACTGACAACCCTTAAGATCTTTTTTTCTTTTAAAAATTTTAAACATTACAAACTAGTTGAGTTAAATTAAGGCAAATAAAAATAATAATCTGTGACAACCTTGAAAGTAAGCCTTCTGCCTTGACACAAATGTTTATACTACATTGTACTACTTAGTAATTGTTAAAACACACATTAACAATTCATATCTCATTTTTTTTTGCTGGTAAGTAAAAGAAGTTCATGTTAATATATACATAATTTATATATTATTGACCAGTCTTTGGCAGGTAAACCTAAAATATACACTGTATTATGCTTTTGTGCTTATATTTGTTGAAAAGAGGGGGGTTGAATCCTATACAAATAACAATGAATAATGTAAAATATTTCAAGAAAAGATTGATGTTGATTGGAATCGGGTCTCAAAAATTTTCTTCATAAAGTCAGTTATTCTGGTGATTTTATATACAAATGAATGTGAGCTTGGAATTATTTATATAAAAAAATGATATTTATTTGTGCCTTTTTACATTTAGATCTCTTTGTTCTCTTGTATAATGTACTATCATAATATAATTATCATTAAATCCAAGTTCTTGATTATGAATAACAATGTAAGGCCATGCAAAGACATCAATTGTTTTTCAAGCAAACTATTCTGATATAGATGTGTATATGGACAGTTTTTAAAAAATAAAAAAATTTGCTTGGCCTGCAATCTGTTGGACAAAATGACTACTCCCTAATTTTTCTATGACCAGTTTACTTAAATCACCGTTGTATAAGACTAAGTATTTCTTGCATGGTTGTTTTAACATCATTGGTCAACTTGATTCCACTGGCTGGGTTTGAACTGTTGTATATCTTTAACTGTTCACTATGAGCCTGCAATTGTGATAATAATTCTTTAGCATGAAACTTGGCATGTACTTGTAAATTATCAATAAAATGGGAACAAAGTTCATGAAAAGTTAAAATTTGCTCCGACAGAAGCATAAAATTTGTGCTGGTTTTGTTCCCAGCAGCTGTCAGTGACTCTATACAACTATTTAATTCATTAGCAGATTTTAAAACACTTTCTTGTGTCACGTTGGGAGAATCTGAATCAGAATTAGGTCCAGAATATTTTTCAGGCACTGTTTCCAAAGTATCTATCATGGACTTGGACATAAGTGATGATTGTAGTCCAGATTGAATATTTTTCGGCAAAACAGGTTTATAAATATTGTCATCTTTACTAACATGAGATTTATAATTCAGATCTGATAGTGGTCGCACACCTTCATGTCTCTCAGAAAATGATTCTCGACCATTTTCATTCCTAGTAAAAGGTTTAAAAGGTCCATAATCAGAACTGCCTGGTTTTTGTGATTGAAACATTGCAACTTTTGACAAAACAGAATATGCTTCTGTTTGTTCCTCAGTAATAGATTCTGAATTATTCCCACTCCACGAGTTTGTAACATTTATATTTTCAGCTGCAGGAGATTCCCCTTGCAAAGGATAGTCTCCTGTCGAAGCAGATCTCATTTTATGAGAAAAGGTGGGTCGAGGCGATTTATACTCCGAATGTTTACGTGAATCGAGAACTGAATCTGGACTTCCGATTAATGTTGAGTCTGTGCTAGCTGGACTATGATCAATACCAACTAAAGGTTTATGTATTGGTTGAATAACATGCTGGGTATGATCCATCTCACTACGAGGTTCAAACATACGTGATAACCTTGGACTAGGTTTGGGTTTTTGATCAGGAAAGTTTCTAGCCAACTCATTATTACTATGCGTCACGTCAGACTTTTGTCTCTGTAACCCAGTGTTAGGAAGGTTTTGATTATCAACTATACCATATTGTGACTGAGATTTTACAAAACTACTTGGCTTCACATTAGGTTCTGGCTTTATACCAGGATCACTGTTTTCTCGTTGACCATGCGAAACTAGTTTTTCTGCATCTTGTCCTGCTTCCGGCATTAAATTAGGACATGATGCAACACTAGCAGTGTCAGTGCCTGAATCCTGATCGTCCACTACAGGCAGGTCAGGAATTTGATTTCTTTCTACTTCCGATTCCATTGAAGCTAAATAGGCCTCTATCCGACGGCCTTTGGGAATAGTTCCATACCTACTGATTGCTTTTGTAACATTATTTACGTCTAAACGTCCTATTGTAACACTACTTTCTGCATCTCGAGTCTTATTAGTTCTGCCTGATGACTGTCGCCTTATAAGAGCTTGTTGTGGTAATGGTAATGCTTTTTTAGGATAAAACTTTCCTTTATAATTAGACACCATGTCTTTTGTTTCTTCAGTACTAGTCTCTTTAGAAACACGGTGACTACTATCACCACTTTCAATACTATATTGTCGTTGGTAAGGCAAATTAAAACTCCGCCCACTACTCCTCTCTTTAGAATGTTCAAAAGCAGAAGATTTCACAGCACTATCAGTATTGATCAAATATTTAGATTTGTCAATTTGAGCACGTTTTAAACTTTCGGTACTACTTTGTGATATTCCGCTATCCTCCATTTTCACGTCCTTTCCCTCTCGTTGATAACTTTTAGGAGAGCCTAATTCTAGTCGTTTAGAAGGCTGCAGTGTAATAGTCAAACCTACATCACTTCCAGTTTCATGATATTCATCATCATCATAATTTTCTATGAGAACTGAGCTTTCAATTTTAGCTTTTTGAAGTTTCATTTTTGCCTTCAGTTCATTTTCCATATCCTTTTGGCTATCTGTTGGATCCTTACATGATGTAGTTCGTCTTGGAGGAGCAGGAGCAGGTCCACCCTTTTTCTTAGCAGCAGCCTTGGCGACAACTGCTTTGGAGACTTGACGTAACAATACATCAACATTATCCTCCTTCTGTGGCAGCACTCGTCTAGATGCTGGTGGAGTAGGACCTTAAGAGAATAATGAAAGAGGTAATTAAATTGCGTTATGCAATACAATATAAAGAAATCAGATTTTAGCTAAATTCTTACAGGTTGTCATGCTGAAATTTTTTAGCTGCTATAAAATGGAACTAATTAAAAATTTACTAGGTCTTTGAAATGACAGATTTGGGGCTAGTTTTTTTATAATTTGTTGGTTCAAAGATCTGTCTACCAGATTTGTTTTATTTTTAGGGAGGAAAAAAAATTGAAGTTTCATGCTTTTTAATTCCTTCTGACTGTACACAAAAATTATCATTCCTTAATTATAACTATAATTTATCTCTACCTTGAAAGTATGTGTTATTTTATATGCAAATTGAAATGATTAACCCAGAGGCATATAATACCATAATTTTATAAATCTCTGATTACATATCAACTTCTATGTCAGGGGCGTTTCCAGCCATTTTTTAAAGGGGGGGTTCCAACCATATGTTCCCATTCAAATGCATTGATCGGCCAAAAAAAAAGGGGGGGGGTTCCAACCCCCGGAACCCCAATCCCCAGATCCACCACTGTATGTTCGTGTTACAAGGATAAAAAAATAAAATAAAATAGACAATAGCAGCTGATTGGGAAATGTTGTTTACCCAAATGATTTTACAGATCTCAACTTATGTAAATAGTCCAATGCAATAAGATTGTTTTGCTTTTTTGTCATCATTCCACAAGACTTCATTAAACAAGAATGTGTCCATAGTACACGGATGCCCCACTCGCACTATCATTTTCTATGTTCAGTTGACCGTGAAATTGGGGTCAAAACTCTAATTTGACATTAAAATTAGAAAGATCATATCATAGGGAACATGTGTACTAAGTTTCAATTTGATTGGACTTCAACTTCATCAAAAACTACCTTGACCAAAAACTTTAACCTGAAGCGGGACAGACGGACGGACGGATGGAAGAACGAACAATCGAACGAATGAATGGTCGCACAGACCGTAAAACATAATGCCCCTCTACTGTCGTAGTTGGGGCATAAATAAAAGTTTGCATCAGCTGTTTATAACATATAATGTATGCTTTAAACAGCTGAAAGACAAACAAGACATGTCCAATTAGAAAGAGAGTTAATTAACGTAACAGGAGATGACCAAATATTTAAATATTTCCTGCAGCATAGGTTGGTAAGAAAAACTGTAAAACAGATATATATATAAGGATTTCAAAAAGAGGGATCACCTGGCAAAATGATGAAACTGATATCACAGGTCTATTTCTTATATTGCAAATCCCAATGGACTGTATTAAATAACATGTGGTATGATTTCCACCACAGACCAAATAATGTGGATTAAAAGGTTAACCTGATATGCCAACGCTCCAGCAACAACCACTGTTGATTCATTTATTTTCATGGGTACCAATTTTTGTGGATATTTTATGTCGGGGTTTCTCCGAAATCTGCATGCAAGCCTATAGAAAATGTGTACTTTGTTGAACATTTAAATTCATGGTTTACATATACCAACAAAATCCACAAAAATATGTAGTCAACGAATAATAATGAATCAACAGTTTTATTGAAGAAATTATCTACAGTAACGATAAAAACAGAACACTCCTAGGCCTTCCAAAAACAAAGTTTAATTTACTGTAGTGATTTTCAACTGCCAGTTCTGTAAATTTGTTGTCTCCCTTGACAAAATTCTTTTGATGAGGTAAATAAGTTTTATTGACTTGAAAAACTCACATTCACTAAGGCCAGCAGCTGAAGTGAGTGATTTTTTTTTTCAATTCAATTGTACCACATATTTACAGAATTAAAGGACAGTAATTGTTTAATCCCATATATTCCAAGAAAAAAGTATTAAATGACAGTTATTCATCAAAACCAATTGTACATCAAACATTTTAACATAATGTAAAAGTATGTGACGTTTAGCAGATATTTATTTCACATAGTTTCTGGTAAAAGCTTTGATTTAAAATCTAATTTTTATAGAAAAACCTACTAAAATTATACTTATATGGAATAACACTTATAACTAACTGTACTCAAGTCCCTGAGTGTCTGAAAAAAGAAATTGTAACTTCTACAAATCAAAGCTTTTACCAGAATCCATGAGACTAAAGATCTGCTTTTTTGAAACTGAAATGTCCTTAACTTCAGTCTCTTTGATAAACTTGTTTTATACCTGCACTGATCCTGCCCTCCCCAAGATCAGGACTATCCAGTCCTGCTAAGTTAGCACCTGAACGATTCTTCTTGGGTGGAAGTAAACCTTGAAATTTCTTAGGATCTTTGTCCAATTCTTTCTCAATCTCTGAAAGAATAAAACGCAATATTTATCTTTAACATTACATGCATTTTCATTGAAATCATACAACGCAAAAATGTTAATAAATTCTTATTTAAAAGCCTAAAAATTTCAGTTTTTTTTTTTATCTATTTCTACAGATAAGTGAGCTGAAGTAAATACATTTACAATACAGTTTATGTTTATTTTGTATAAAAAGTTATCTCAAGAATGAATATATGACACCTGGTGATGCAAATCCATATTTGCTTTTAATATGCAGTGTACAAAATCTCCACAAATATTGATTGTTGTACTTTTTTTTTAATCCTTGTTGGCAAACACTAAATCTTTTTTTTTTCCTTACTAGGTAATTACAGTATCTCAAATTGATATTCTATGTAAAAAATAATGCCAAATATGGTTGCCAATATTTAATTACAGAATTAAGTCTGGACTTCAATCTTTCTCTTTAGAATACAGAAATGATAGGTATCATATTTCTCAATTTCTAGTTTTCAAAATATTTTTGTATGGTATTCAATTGGTTGAAATTTTGAGTGTACCAATCCGTTATTGATTGTTTCACAGTGCATTCTATATAATTAAGATTCTAGGTAAAATCATAGTTTCTTTTGTTCATTCTGAAACTAGTGTATAGTAAATTATGTTCGGACTGTTACAATACCTGACAGTACCTATGCAAAAGCACAACCATCTTTTTGTGAGTTAAAAGAATACCTTCATTAATACTGGATTTTTCGAACATATGTTCTAATACATTGTGAATTTCTTTGAAGGTAGGTCTGTCTTTAGGATCCCACTGCCAACCTACAAAAAAAGTTTCCATTTAGATTATTTATATATTAATTTTTAGTTTAAAATTTGAAACAATTTTTCAAATAAAACACATGTTATTGATATAAAGAAAATGATTACCAAATAATTATTTAATTACTCTTTTATTTCTCCCTTCCTTAAAAGATTTTTTAATTGTTAAGATACTATTTCATCTAAAAAAATATTAAAATAAATTATCATATTTTGTCATCTGAATTAAAAAATTGCAACTATCATATAATCAGTTTTTGCAAAAATACTGGTTTTATCAAGGTCAACCTACTTTTCCCATTTAAAGAAAATATGATCTGTACTTACATAAAGGAATATATATACATTTTTTTACATAATGAAGCAACAGTCTGAAGGTCTTTTTTTTCATTTATAATATTTACAGCTGTTCCACATAACTATGTAAAGATGAAATGGAAGACCTTTGAATCTGCAGCTTTCAATGTACAAATCTTCAGGATGACAGCATAAATACAAACACAACATCCGTCATTATTTGCTTGGTTAGTTTCATATGTCTCATGTTTATTATATGTTTAAATGTACAATAAATGGGTAATCACATGTAAGGAAAGTAAGTACTAAAGGAAGAAATAAACTCTTACATCTCATCATCAGTTCATATACACTGGCAGGACATCCAGCAGGTCTGTCCATCCTGTAACCCCTCTCTAATAAATGGTACACCTCGGTCAATTCCACTCCTGGATAGGGAGACATCCCAAAAGTAGCCAACTCCCACAGTAATACACCAAATGCTAGAAAATAATCTAACACTGTGTAAGATGTTCAAGTTATTGCGCATTATTTTCAGGTTTTAGTTTATAAACATGCTGTCTTTCTATGTTGTGATGTTACACTATTGTTTCAGAAAAAGGGTGAAGGTTTGGTACCATTAAAAGGTTTAAAACCCGCTGCTTTTGTTTGCACCTGTCCTAAGTCAGGAATCTGATGTTCAGTAGTTGTCGTTTGTTGATGTGGTTCATAAGTGTTTCTCGTTTTCGTTGTTTATATAGATTAGACCGTTGGTTTTCCAGTTTGAATGGTTTTACACTAGTAATTTTTGGGGCCCTTTATAGCTTACTGTTCGGTGTGAGCCAAGGCTCCGTGTTGAAGACTGTACTTTGACCTATAATGGTTTACTTTTATAAATTTTGACTTGGATGGAGAGTTGTCTCATTGGCACTCATACCACATCTTCTTATATCTATTTAATCAAACTATACATAATATAGCTGAATGTTCATTTTTATCTACTGATTTGTATACTTTTTTCTTGATGTTTGTTTTCATGTTAAGTATCTAAAAAGATTTTTTTCATATCTTTAAAGTAAAGGCCTTGTAATGACTTGAGAAAGATGAATCATTTTTATGCTACTTGTTTTACCACGAAGAATTTTCCAATTGTATTTTTCAAGGTGCTCTACATGAACACCTTTCCCATATCATGTTCTTTTATAAAAAGAACAACAAATGTAAAAGTGCAAAAAATTTTCTCTACTGAAATTTATCACATATCAAAATAAGTATTTAGTGGATCCAATTAGACATAAATTTCTCTCCTATATTTTTAAAAGGCTGCTATGTTAAAACAAATATTTTGAAAAAGGTTTTTTATATGAACCTTGATGGTACTAGAAATTTCAATCCAAACTAATTAATCCAGCTAACGACTTCAACAGTCACATGTGATATAATTAAAATAATGTCCAAATAAAAATCTATTAGTACATTGTTTGCAATGAAATAGCATGATTTCCAATTTTAAATCAAAGAGCTTAAAAGCTCTGAGGGAAAAGACGGCAAATGTTTCTATTTTTTTTTTGTATCTTTTGATAGTCTTCATACAAAGAATGAGCAAAAACATGTAGAAAGATTGATAATATTGAAATTAATTGTTGGTTAATAATGTAATTTCATTTCCTTAGCCAAGAATTCATCATAGAATTAATTTGGACCAATAAAGAGATTGGCACCTTCTAATTCAAAACATTTCATTAAAGTTGAAAGTTAATTATCTAAAATTCAATTGAATTCTATCCTTTAATAACTACAACAATATATATATTTTTTTATTGTATACCACTGAACTGCAAGCTAGGGCATTTCTCCATTTTTTGTGACAGGGCTCTAAGATTTTAATTTTTTTCTCGATAAAGTGAGGACTGAAAAGTCTATTCAGTTTTAAATTTCCATTTAAATATGTTTAAACTACAAAAAGCCATTTGAAAATTTTATATATTTTTTTTACCATTACAATGATTATGTAGGTACATAAAATTTTGTTTTAATGGAAAACTACTTATCATATAATAAATATCACATTTTAAGTGTTTAGACACACAAACTTTTCTTTAGGTGGATAATTACTCATCAATTTGAGGTGCTCCTGTATTGGAGGAGAGATTCTCAATACAGTTACAGAAAAGAATGAAAACTGACGTTTCTCTCCCCAATCCCATGTATCCCCATTGTTTACCGTGAAAGTTGACCTACAAATCAAAGCATTGCATGTTTGAATCATCTACAGAAAACATAATTATGTTTTTAAATAAACAAATACCGATTTCTGTGAATGATTTTAATAATGAGGAAAGGATATCCCTGCTTCTACCTAGTGTGGAACTCCAACCATGACGTCACTAGGTTGGATATATTTAGAATATTTCGTAATACTGATTTTTCCGGATTGTAAAAGAAACGTAAATAATGTTAAGGAGAGCTCAAGATACGATAATTTCACGAGATACAGAAGTCAAATGTGTTAAAAAGTGTTTAAAGTCAATCTGTTCATTTGTGTGTCTCCTTCTCGTCAATACACCTTATCGCTATTCCCGCTTGACCCGAGAATCTGTCCAGCTCGAACTTTTGACGTCATAAAACAATCACTTTTCCATTGTGGCGTCAGATATTTTCTATTATGACGTCAAAATTTGACGGGAACTTGTGTGATGTCCAGTAATGGCGGACAAATAGCGATAAGGTGTATTCAGTATGAAATTTTGAGGTGTTTTCCCCAACTATAAAAATAAAATGATTTCTGTGAGGGGCTTGGAAGTCTGGCCAGCCACATAGGGAATTGACGGCTTGAAGCCATCTTTCCCAAAAACCCTTTAATTTCACATGTGAAATAAATCCAGTAATTTCAATCGTCTATTAATGTCATACAATAATGGGTGTTCTCAAGACATTGTCAATGACATTGCAAAACTAAATGGAAATGTGTAGAAAAAGATATAGTATTTTATACTTTATTTTCATTAAAAGCTCACAATCAATGTAATAAGAAGAATAACTAACCGAAGAATCAAAATATAGAAAAATATTCTACTTGTGACCAAACAACACTGATAATTAACTCATGCGCACATTCATGAATTTATGTTCAGTCACTCTTTGAATATTTTTCTACATTTGATTCCTCAATTAGTTATTCTATAATTATCTTCTTCTTCTTCTTTTTCTATACATACCCCAGACGTCAGATCTCGTTGAGAATCTGTTAAATGCCAACCCTTCAGGTGCTGTCCATTTGATAGGAAACTTAGCTCCAGCATGGGCTGTGTATGTATCGTCTTTCATTAATCTGGCCAAACCAAAATCTGCTACTTTCAGTATATGGCTATCACCTACCAGACAGTTTCTAGCTGCCAAATCTCTACAATATATCAAAAATGCTTTTAAATATCTGCTTAACTAACCAGGAGATATCATCTAGCAGCTAGACAGTATATCCTTCTAATATATTCTTGTTCTTTGAACACACTCAAATGTATAAATGCTGCACTGGGGATTCTTTTATTTTTGTGGGTCTAGGAAAATATGTGTAAACATGAATTTTTGATATTGTGGCTTTAACAAAGATTACACATAAAAGACTATAGAAAATTTGTACTTTGTTGAACTTTTAAATTTGTGGTCCACCTATATCCACAAATTCCACTAAAAATTTGTTATCCAGGAATAGTAATTCATGGAAATACAACTTACATACAATATTGTTTAGTCAACTCTGTGGTCAATATCTTTACCTAACACAAATTTGATGCTTTTGTTAGTCACAATATTATATGTTTTCGATTGGTACACTGTTTTACGAGGTTACCAATTTTTTAAGCTTTTGCAGGTACTAAGAAAGAGTAAAAATCACTTAAGTAGGTAATACTTAATTTATGGAGTACTTAATTCCATAAATTTTCAGGTTAATCAAACTACAAATTTTAGTACTCAACTAAAATGCATGTTTTTAATTGATCTGTAATGCTTAATGTCTGAAAGCAAAAATTTGAAATCTCATGTCCTTTTACACCGCAAAAAATTATTTCAGATTTACAACAGTTATTTTTTACTGTCAAGATATGCCAGTCTTGATGCTATGTTGATCAATAACATTTCTCAAATTTGACTACAGAGATTTAACTAAAATTTTCAAATGTTTTAAAAGAAAAACTTGAAATATTTCTTGATATTTTTTTGACAGTAGATTCCTACATGTAAATTGGACAAAAATATTCATTGATTTTGGGACTAGATTTTTCAAGAATTCAAGCACTTTTATAAAATCTAATCAAAGAGTATTTATTTAATTTATCCAGTAACAAATCAAATCTCCTATTCCATCTTTTTGAGTAAAATTTTTTTTTTTATGTTTTATGCAACTAGTATCTGTGCTATGTTTTCGTAATATCAGAAGCTGTATGTATAACAATTACTACCTATGTATAAATGACCTAGCCTCTAGATAGGCCATTCCTGAAGCTATCTGTGTTGCCATGTACATTAGAATTGTGGGTCCTATATCTTCCTTGTTAGCACTACGCATAAAATCAAGGAGGTTTCCATTCGGCATGAACTCTGTTACAATGTAAAATGGTGGTTCCCTGGTACAAACACCTACAAATATACATATAAAATATATAGTAATCAGCAAGTGTTCATGTATGACAAGAGTATGAAACTTTGTAAACAGTACATTGTCATGCTGTATTGAATACTGTAAATTCAGAAATTATTGTGATTTTGTCATTTTAGACCAAAATGCATTTATTATTTTTCCGATACTGAGAAAATCTGCTGCATTCGTATAAAAAAATCCAAAATGTGAGTTTAAATTATTTCAATTACAACCCTGTCGCATTTTTTGCAATAATTTCTGAATTTACAGTACTCATATAGCTATAAATCACTTTCGCCTGGGTTGAGTGAATATCAATGAAACTTGTGATTGTGGAAAACTTGGATGACAACACACAGGCACTACTCTGAAATATCCCCCTCAATCACCAGTATTGATTATGAAATGAGTAGATTCTACAAGGACCTAAAATGGCCCCCATTTTTAGCTTTTGACCAATATTACAATGAATCATAGTTAGAACATTGACTAGGTAGGAAATATAACTTTTTGTGGAAAGTTTACATATTAGGATTCTTTTTATGATGTCACAAATAGTACACATTTTGATTTTCCACGAATATTCAAGAAAGCAAGTAAATTTCCTTACTGTTCAGCTACAAATAATACGTGCATTTTCAAGACAATAAAAAGTTGTAGTGAGAGTACATACAGTCTCTTTCCAATGCACAGATACATGTAGATAAGCATTTGCATTTATATCTTTATTAATTTGGACATTAAAACTCATATGTACATGGGTTGGCTGAAAACAGCATGGATAGATAAAGAAAATCACATCAAACGCAGGTTAAACACTATGGATTCATTTATTTTTATGATTTAAATTTTCGAGGATTTAGGAAAAAATATATTTTCATGGATATGATTTCGTGGTCTTGCCAAAATATATGCAACCCTAAAGAAAATGTGTACTTTATTGAATATTTAAATTCCTGGTTCACCTTTACTCAAGAGATCCATGAAAATTGGTCTCTCCCGATTAATAATGAATCCACGATTAATAATGAATCCACAGTATGAAACACCTGGATATCATCTGCTTTCCGGTGTGTTTAAATAGTTGTGTTAAAATCTTACCAAGTAACTGGACTAGATTAGGATGCTTCATTTCTTTCATAATGGCTGCCTCTTCGAGAAAATCTTTTAATGCCATGGTATCTTCCTGTATTTATAAAAATAACTTCATTTATTATATACTTAGTAGTAAATACAGATAAATTGTATATGTAATACAATCATTGGCAAGGATGCTGTATCAGCCACTCGTGATGAAATCGATATCAGCACGGTTGCAAAGGCTTTATCACACCTTAAATCTGTATGATGTCACGTCATCGATTGCAGTCACTGTTGCAAAAAGGCTTTATCAAACCCCTAATCTGTATAACGTCATGTCAAACCTATAATCTTTATGACGTCATTTCAAACCTCCTTATCTGTATGACATCATGTCACATAAAAAACATCTACGTGAGGTATATGTATATAATAATGTGTATATGATATGGCTTTTTCAAAATAATGGTATAATTGTACCCCATGATAAAACTTATTTGTACATATATTTATTCATTAAATTTGAAGAATTGCCTTAGCCGTGTGATATGACTTTTGTTATCAACTGCGGTTTATATCAACTGCTTCCGTTTCATATCAACTGCTTCCGGTTATTATCGCATGCTTTTCGGTAACGTTATCGCCTGACAGTTCGACATCATTCGGCAAATTCCGGAAAATGTACCTAAATGGTACGTTTTTTTTTTAGTAAAACATAACAAAGTTGGAGAAAAAGAAATATTAATAATCAGGAAAATATATTATTAAAAAATACAAAACAAATATTACAACAAATGCATTGTTTCAAAGTTTTAAAAATAGTTTTGTCTGTATGTCTTCTGCTGAAGTATATGATAAAAAGAACATAACATGTCGTTTTTCATATCAGACCCCTTATCAGCCCTGTCGGCGCTCGGGCTGATAACATGACCTAGGGCTGATAAGGGGTCTGATATGAAAAATGCCATGTTATAATCTATATATCACACACTGTATCAACCCTCAACCAATATAATCCCTCAAGCAGAGCTCTTGGGATTATATTGGTGTCTCGGGTTGATACAGATGTGATATTGAAAAAGCCATATGATATTCTCTATGTACTGTAAATTCAGAAATTATTGCATCTATTATTGCAATTTTTGAAGAATGGACTAAATGAGAGATTATAATTATTGCAATTTCAGGAAAATCTGCATACAGATATAAGTATTAGAATTTACAGTAATGGGGATTACGAAAAGCTTATTACTTTAATGCATTAAAAGCAAAATTTAATGGCAAAGAATGGCCATGTTTTGAAGCTTCAGTGTTCTCCCCATTATTTTTTAATAACATCATGGGATTTGATAAAGCACTGTTTTACTAAATTTCTAACATTTTATAAGGGCTGTTCCATTAAAATCATAGAGGACCCAGAGAAGAGACTTCTAAATTCATCTCTGGTTGGATGTGTTTGTACAGTGAAAGAGTAAGAAAATTCTGAAAGTTGCTTCTATAGGTGGTCACCCTTTTTTCAAAGTGCCATCCCTGGGTACCATTTTTGTTTTAATGTTATTATAAAAACTATTCAGATAGCACCATGTTACTTAAATGCTCAGAGTAGAACCCAGTTTTGATGAGGATGCTTAACTTAACACAGAATAAATATGATTTAGTGCTTGAAATATGGTTTAATGCTTGAAAATGGTGAAGCACTTGACAGTATGGCTTAGTGTTTGATATATGGGTAAGTACTTGACATATGGTTTAGTGCTTGACAGTATGGTTTAGTGCTTGACAGTATTGTATAGTGCTTGACATTATGGTTTAATGCTTGAAATATGGTTTAGTCCTTGACATATGGTTTAGTGCTTGACATATGGTTTAGTGCTTGACATATGGTTTAGTGCTTGATAGTATTGTATAGTGCTTGAAATATGGCTTGTGCTTGAAATATGGTTTAGTCCTTGATGTATGGTTTAGTGCTTGACATATGGTTTAGAACTTGACAGTATGGTTTAGTGCTTGAAATATGGCTTGTGCTTGAAATATGGTTTAGTCCTTCAAATATGGTTTAGTGCTTGACAAATGGTTTAGTCCTTCAAATATGGTGTAATGCTTGACACATGGTTTAGTGCCTGAAATATGCTTTAGTCACCCGTCTTTTGTTGTTTGTAGAACTGTAGATGTATGTTGTTGTTAGTAGAGCTGTAGATGTATGTTGTTGTTAGTAGAGCTGTAGATGTATGTTGTTGTTTGTAGAGCTGTAGATGTATTTTGTTGTTAGTAGAGCTGTAGATGTATGTTGTTGTTAGTAGAGCTGTAGATGTATGTTGTTGTTTGTAGAGCTGTAGATGTATGTTGTTGTTTTATTTGTCTTCTGAAGTTTCTTTGTCATTGATGTTTACCAATCATCTCATTTTATATTCTAAGCATAATGTACTATGCCAAATTTTCTGTATTTACAGTATTCAATGGATAAATTGATACAAAGTAAAGTAATGAAGCAGACTTATCAAACCTTAAGAGTTTTGACTGCTACAGTCTTGTTGTATCTCTTCCATATAGCTTCATATACATCTCCATACTGGCCACCACCTATAATACAAGAAAAATTTCAATACATGTTAACTTTATCTGTAAATAAAGCAAAAAGAAAACTCTTGAAAAAATAAAAATGTGGGTGTTAGCAACTAAAGATCACTGTATGACCTTCAACAATGAGCAAAACATATAGTGTATAGTAAGCTATAAAAGGCCCAGAATAAACAAATATGACACAATTCAACGAGAAAACCAACAGCCTGATTTATACTTATAACAATATAAGAAAAATAAATATGACAGACAACACCCAATATGTCTGTCAGATACTCAAAACAAATAAATATGACAAACAACAACAAATAGGTTTGTCAGTTACTCAAAACAAATATATATGACAAACAACAACCAATATGTTTGTCAGTTACTCAAAACAAATATATATGACAAACAACAACTAATAGGTCTGTCAGTTACTCAAAACAAATATATATGACAAACAACAACCAATATGTTTGTCAGTTACTCAAAAATAAATATGACAAACAACAACCAATATGTCTGTCAGTTACTCAAAACAAATAAATATGACAGACAACCAATATGTCTGTCAGTTACTCAAAACAAATAAATATGACAGACAACAACCAATATGTCTGTCAGTTACTCAAAACAAATAAATATGACAGTACACAACCAATATGTCTGTCAGTTACTCAAAGCAAATAAATATGAGACAACAACCAATATGTCTGTCAGTTACTCAAAACAAATAAATATGACAGACAACAACCAATATGTCTGTCAGTTACTCAAAACAAATAAATATGACAGACAACAACCAATATGTCTGTCAGTTACTCAAAGCAAATAAATATGACAGACAACAACCAATATGTCCATCAGTTACTCAAAACAAATAAATATGACAAACAACAACCAATATGTCTGTCAGTTACTCAAAACAAATAAATATGACAGACAACAACCAATATGTCTGTCAGTTATTCAAAGCAAATAAATATGACAGACAACAACCAATATGTCTGTCAGTTACTCAAAACAAATAAATATGACAAACAACAACCAATATGTCTGTCAAAACAAATAAATATGACAGACAACAACCAATATGTCTGTCAAAACAAAATAAATATGACAAACAACAACCAATAGGTTTGTCAGTTACTCAAAAATAAATATGACAGACAACAACCAATATGTCTGTCAGTTACTCAAAACAAATAAATATGACAGACAACAACCAATAGGTTTGTCAGTTACTCAAAAATAAATATGACAGACAACAACCAACAGGTTTGTCAGTTACTAAAAAAAATATAAAAAGGTTAAAAAAGGAACTCTGGAAAACTGTATGATCGCATAGAAGGTTGTATGAAAACATACTAACAAACAAGCACTATTACTTATACCTTTGACTTTTTTGATAGTCCAAATGCTTTAACTTCAGATTGGAGAATTACAAAATAAATCATAAAAAGGTGGATTATATAACCAGTATTGCATATGAGTCAAAAACATTGTGACTCATGCCAACAGTCTAAATGGTCCTGTTGTTAGATATAACAAACATTGTGACTCATGCCAACAGTCTAAATGGTCCTGTTGTCAGATATAACAAACATTGTGACTCATGCTAACAGTCTAAATGGTCCTGTTGTTAGATATAACAAACATTGTGACTCATGCTAACAGTCTAAATGGTCCTGCTGATAGATATACCATATCTTATTACCTAATCTATGTTTCATTGCTATTTCTGTTCTTTCTATTTCCCATCTATCTGGTTCCGGACTAAGACCAAATACTGTTGGTTTCTGGCGTTTAGGAGCAGGATATAGTAAAGTGGTTACCAGTCCATCTGAATGTATTGAGTGATGGTGTACAAGTTCAGCTAAGGTGTTGAATCGATGTTCTGCTGTAACATACACCTAGGAAAGAAAATTTTGTTTAAGAAATAACACTAAAATGTAACAAATTTTTCTTGTTGAAAAGTTCAAGAAAATTTTAACTGAGTCTTGACTTATCATTGTGATTTTTGTATTTTTGTTAATGATATAATAAAATGCTTCCCTAAGTGCAACCTGATATGATCGCAGAGGTCGAACCCTGAACAGTTGGGGCAAGTTTGGACACAATATTCAAGCTTGATACTGTCTGAATTTGATTGTGATCAAATTTTTGACATAATATAGGTTTCTGACACAAAATAAATGTGGTCAAAGATCTTAAAAATTCGAAATGGGACATTTAATTTACCTAGAATGGTCTGATATCCAAAATCTAACAACATGGTTAGATTCAGCATATAAAAAAACACCAATAATTTAATTTTAGTTGAAATCAAACAAAGTTTAATTTTGGACCCTTCAAACCTAAATATGAACTAATTTGAAAACAGGGCCCAAAATAAAAATCTTTATTCCCACAATAAGCTTCAGCAAATCATACAGCCGCAATAATTCAGTTTTTGATGAAATCAAACAAAGTTTAATTTTGGACCCTTTTGACCAACCAACCCAACCCACCACCCACCCACCCCCACCCCCACCCCCACCCCCCCAAATTGGAAAAAAAATCCCCCCCAACTTTTTGAACAGCCTATCCCCCCCCCCCCCCCCTTTTGGAGTAATTAACCCCAAACTCAATCCCAGCCTTCCCTTTAGGGTATGGAACCTTGTAGTACAATTTTTGAGAGATCCATACCCTTAAATACAAGTTATTTTCTGGAAACTAGAAAAATGCTTGTTTTTTACCCTTTTTTGCCCCTAATTCCTGAACATTTGGGGCAATTAACCCCAAACTCAATCCCAGCCTTTCCTTTGTGATATGGAACCTTGTGGTACAATTTCAGAGATCCATACACTTACACACAAATTATTGTCCAGAAACTACAAAAATGCTTGTTTTTGACCCCTTTGTGGTCCCTAATTCCTAAACTGTTGGTACCATCACCCCCAAAATCAATCCCAACCTTCCTTTTGTGGTATTGAACCTTCTGGTAAAAAATTCAGAGATCCATTCATTTAAACTTAAGTTATTGTCAGGAAACCAAATGTGTCTTCGGACGACGATGACGACGACATCGTAGCATTATACGACGCGGTCATATAAAAAGTCCATAATATTGAATTCAGATCTATCATACATTGCACATGTATCTTGTCTTCAAGACAAATTAGTTAAGATTAATCTACAGGGGAAGGCTAACATGTATGTGTGTCCAAAAGGCTGGGAAATAAAAAAAAGAATTGTAAGGATTATACAGGGGAAAATGGGCAAAGCATCTAGTATGACCAAAGATGACCAATAACCTTATCAACTCTTTGCTAGAGCAATTAAACTTTTTTTAAACAATAACATCTGCTGTGAAAAACCAAAATTCTACAAACTGACTTACCTTGCCATCAGAATCTTCACTTATTCTGTAGTGGTATACACGACCTTCAAATCTGACAGAAATTGACCTCTGGCCTGGGCTACTTTCACTTTCTCTAACAAGGAAGCTTCCATTTATTCCACTACTAAGAAGGTATTCTGATGCATTTCGCGATATCTGTCCATGGTACCAGGAGAATTTATCCAGACTGTTGACAGGAGCAATGTAGTTACTAGGCACCCAGCCAAGGTCATTGGCCTTGTTTTTGACCTCACACCATTCCCCTCCTTTGTTGTAACCAAGGATAGTTATTTGTTCACCTTGAAAGAAACAAAAATACTGTCTAATGACATTTATCATATAGCAACATGATACAAAATGAGAGGGAATGTTCATCTTATATCTTACTACTATAACTTTAAAAGAATGCAGAACAATACACAGGAAGCTTTATCAAATACAACTCAACCTAAGAGTAAACAATAAGTTAATATGTCACCAAATCCTTCCTTCTTGTTTTTAAATTTATGAATGAAATCATATTATTTAAAAAAAAAATTAACATAAGAATATGCATTCCTCTCCCAAAGAGCATATTTGAAAATACTCCAGGCAAAGCCATTCTTTATTCTGAAGTAGGATCTTTATTCTGAAGTAGGAAAGGGGTATGAAAATCACATTCTAAAAATTCATAAGTGTTCCGTGGAACCCAGTGTCTCGCCTAATTTTGCTGTTAGTCACAGGCTCAACAAAAATGGGGAAAAAATTATTAAAAAATTTCCTATAGATACTATCTTTTCATTGTAAGAAGCTTCTGTCCAAGTTTGGTAGAAATTCAGGATAGTTTATGAATCTAATAAATGTTTTAAAAACTTTAACTGCAGACTGTATGTAATGTTAACTGGAAGAAACACTTAGTCCACTTATAAGTAATATACAGAAAAACAGGAAATTAGTTTTTACAAAATTTCATCTAGATACTAGCTTCTGATCATAAACAAGCTTCTGCCCAAGTTTGGTAGAAATCCAGGATAGTTTAAGAAAGTTATTAAAATTTTAAAAATTCTAACCACAGAGATAATGTAATGTTAACTGGCAGAAAAACTTAAGTCAATTTATAAGTAAAATACGGATACATAGGATTTTTTTTTTACAAAATTTACAAAAGTTTGGTAGAAATCCAGGATAGTTTAAGAAAGTTATTAAAATTTCAAAAACTTTAACCACAGAGTGAGTATTTGTGGACAACGGAATGTAGGATCGCTATGTCTCGCTTTTGCGACAAAAGTTGCAGGCTCGACAAAAATCAAGTTATCAGGAATTGCACTTCTATTGTTAAATCATTACATTTCAATAGCAAGGTGTCAAATATTACATGTATATAACAAAGGTCTAACTCATACAGCAGCAAGAAGACCTTTAAGAATTCCGTGTCTAACTCATACATCAGCAAGAAGACCTTTAAGAATTCTGTGTCTTAACTCATACAGCAGCAAGAAGACCTTTAAGAATTCCGTGTCTAACTCATACAGCAGCAAGAAGACCTTTAAGAATTCCACTCAAACCAGTTCTAGGGGCAATCTAAAACTTGCACTGAGGTGAGAGTTGTTTTGCTCCATGTAAAAGGCCGCACTGTGCCACCAACATTTTTTATTACTAGACACTTTGTGCACTAGTTTATATATTTTTCTTAGCCCTAAGGGAACTAAGAAGTATTTTCTAAGCTGTGATGAGACATATTTTTAAATGCAGAATTGATAGGCAAGGGAGATATGTACAAATTGTGTTAAGAAAATTCGTAAGGGTTCTTCGGAACCCAGTGTCTCGCCTACTTTTGCTGTTAATTGCAGGCTCAACAAAAATGAGGAAAAAAAATAATAAAAATATTCCTCTCTATACTATCTTTTGATTGTAAGTAGCTTCTGTCCAAGTTTGGTACAAATCCAGGATAGTTTAAAAAAGTTGTTAATATCTTAAAAACTTTAACCACAGAGTGAATGTAATGTTAACTGGCAGAAAAACTAAGTCCATTTATAAGTAAAATACGGAAAAAATGGAATTTTTTTTTTACAAAATTTACTTCTGGGTACTATCTTATGATCATAAACAAGCTTCTGTCCAAGTTTGGTAGAAATCCAGGATAGTTTAAGAAAGAAATTAAAATTTCAAAAACTTTAACCACAGAGTGAATGTAATGTTTCTTGGCAAAGACTAAGTCCATTTATAAGTAAAATAAGGAAAAAATGGACTTTTTTTTTTACAAAATTTACTTTTGAATATTATTTTATGATCATAAACAAGCTTCTGTCCAAGTTTTGTAGAAATCCAGGATAGTTTAAGAAAGCTATTAAAATTTTAAAAACTTTAACCACAGAGTGAATAATTGTGGACGCCGCCGCCGCCGATGGAATGTAGGATCGCTATGTCTCGCTTTTTCGACAAAAGTCGATGGCTCGACAAAAAGCAACAGGAACCTACAGTTTTGGACTAAAAAATACTGCCCTTATATTTTTTCTTTAATTCTAGCAAGGTTTTGTTCTAAAAATCAACTTTTTTAAAGTTTGTATCTCAAAAACGGCAACTACTGTCGTCTATAAGGGAAATAAATTGTTTTTTACAATCTGTAGGAATATCGAAATAAGTAAATTTGATAATCTCCTCTTCTAACATATCATTATGGAACTGTGTTTTCTATTCTTTTATGCACATTCTCAGATAGTACGAACCTTTAAATATACTTAGTTGGTTTTCACCACCTTGCTGGAAATCATACAAAGCAACAAACAGGTTTGGGTCATCTTCACCCTGGTTGGCCAACAGATTTTCTTTAGACATCCATTTTGTATCTAGCAGACCTAAGGGGGCATCAGGTAGTGGGCGTGTCTGCAGCAAGGAATCTGCCAAATAAAAAATTTTAAACATTATATATCATGTTTCTGTAAAAATGAAATTATTTTTTACAAATTTATTTTATGTGGAAATTTACGTGTACAAGTAGCATTTTCCTTTACCTTTTTTTTTACAGTGGAATTTAAAATACATTTTTGTGTGCAACATGTGAAGAATGCACTTTTCAAAAATACAATAAAATGCACATGTGCATTCATTCCATGCCATTTTAATTTTAAACTGGAATCTAAATGTCAAAATTAGTTACATACTTGACTGCATTTTACTACATGTACATGTATACAATTAGGCCATTTGGATCTAAACAATAAATAGATCAATAATTTATGACTAGTACAAGTCTGGTTAATAACGTGTCCAGTTCTCTCTTCAGAATCAATTCTGAATAGTCAATGACCATTTGTTTATTAAATCAATTCTGAATAGTCAATGACCATTTGTTTATTAGAACTATAGAAGTACACAATTATTTATCAATCATTAACAGGAATTGACTGAGATAATTACAACATGATCATTAACTGGACTGGTCATCCTCTAACAGACAACATTTTAATGGGTTACACCTTTATGTATATAAAAATACTGTCTTAGTGTCTATGTCAACCTTCTCCATAAATACTTGCTTTCAAATAGCATCCTGGTATAAAAAAATTTAAAATGCAATTGGTTGTAGAATTGATAGAATGAGTGTAAACTACATTTTATAAGGCATTAGAGACATACATTTCTGCTGAAATCAAGGCTAAATTGCCTTAGGGACGTTTAGTACACACTACATGGCGTAGGTTCATGACTGGTCTGAATTTTTCTTGTTTCAATTCCTTAATTTCGGATATAATTGATTCAATTTTTTCATCTACCTAAAAAAATCAACAAACTGACCTCTAAGCCATTTGGCCTTTTTACAAATATTTTCTGTGTTAGTACACGTCAATTAAAGGAAAACACATGTGTATAACAGTGTCATTTTTATTTGATCTTATTCGAATGCAATTATACCCCAAAGGATATTTGAATTGATGTTTTTATGTCTGAGCAGGATGCAGGGTGGATTTTACAGAAAATTACAGAAAACCAGGGAGAAAATTTACAGAAAAACATTTCCATAATTGAAGGACTTTAGAAATTAATGTGTACATTTAAAATTGATTAAAACATTGCAAAAATTTCTGAATTAAAAGTAATACATATGTAACTTACTATTGAATATTAAAACGGATATTTTGCTTATGTACTGTTAGCATGTATCTTACAGCTTGACTCTTTAAAACTGATGCTGACAGCAGGGATATCGATACAATTTTAAATGATTATATAAAGATACACTAAATTTAAATGTGGTTGTTAAACAATAGACAAAATATACATTTATTATGATTTCAGAAAATATTGCCTAAAATTCAAAACGTAAGGTTATCCCTTTACATTTTATTCAATAACAAAAAGATGTCAAAAGGAGCATGTTATGTAAGTGCCCTATTTGGCCCCCAATATTAAATGCATTCTTTCAAGAAAAAAAAGAGTTTCAAGTTGATGGAAAGACATGAAAGAAATTGAAAGATATTTATTTTTGTGAAGCTTTTCTTATAAGCATTGATCATGACATTTACAACCCAAATAGGCCAATCATAGAGATTTTGGTGAAAGTTGACAAAATCGTCTTGATTTCAACCTCATACCGGTTTAGTAAACATAATGGAGGGTTCGACGCCCTAAATATTCAAGTCAGATATGTAATTTGATTTAATAAACATAATCGCAAAAGAACTTTTTTGTCAACCTATGAGCTGAATATTTTCGGTCCTAAAAACCAAGTGAAATTCATCCGTTTTCAATGTTTTCAAAAGTTGTGCTATTTGTGATGTCACGAAAAGAACATTTATTTGTAAATATCCAGAAAAGAGTCTAATTTCCTATCTAATCAATCTTTTAGCAATGATTTATCCTTATTTGTAATTTTTACAAGAAACTAGAGGCTCTCGAGAGCCTGTGTCGCTCACCTGACTCTACTTTGGTTTTAGAAATCATGTAAAGATAGATAAAAATCATAACAGATACCCAAATAATGATTGAGGCCAAATTTTGATTAATATTGGTCCCGTTATTTAATAAAATATCCTGGTGGCCATCTTGAACAGTAAATCGGCAACAAAGTAGCAACACTTGGTCAGCACTTCATAAGGAACATTCATGCCATGTTTGGTTTCATTCCATTCAGTGGTACTCTAAAAGAAGACATTTGTATGTATTTCCCATAGGGTCCTATGTTAAACTAAGCCCCCCGTTGGCGGCCATCTTGGATGATGGATCGGCTACAAAGTAACAACACTTGGTCAGCATCTCATAAGGAAGATTCATGCCATGTTTGGTTTCATTCCATTCAGTGGTTCTCTAAAAGAAGACATTTGTATGTATTTCCCATAGGTCCTTTGTTAAACTAAGTCCCCTGCTGTCGGCCATCTTGGATGATGGACCGACTGCAAAGTAACAACACTTGGTCAGCACCTCATAAGGAACATTCATGCCATGTTTGGTTTCATTCCATTCAGTGGTTCTCTAAAAGAAGACATTTGTATGTATTTCCCATAGGGTCCTATGTTAAACTAAGTCCCCCGCTGGCGGCCATCTTGGATGATGGATCGGCTACAAAGTAACAACACTTGGTCAGAACCTCATAAGGAACATTCATGCCATGTTTGGTTTCATTCCATTCAGTGGTTCTCTAAAAGAAGACATTTGTATGTATTTCCCATAGGGTCCTATGTTAAACTAAGTCCCCCGCTGGCGGCCATCTTGGATGATGGACCGCCTGCAAAGTAACAACACTTGGTCAGCATCTCATAAGGAACATTCATGCCATGTTTGGTTCCATTCCATTCAGTGGTTCTCAAAAAGAAGACATTTTTATGTATTTCCCATAGGGTCCTATGTTAAACTAAGTCCCCCGCTGGCGGCCATCTTGGATGATGGATCGGCTACAAAGTAACAACACTTGGTCAGCACCTCATAAGGAACATTCATGCCATGTTTGGTTTCATTCCATTCAGTGGTTCTCTAAAAGAAGTCATTTGTATGCATTTCCCATAGGGTCCTATGTTAAACTAAGTCTCCAGCTGGCGGCCATCTTGGATGATGGATCGGCTACAAAGTAACAACACTTGGTGAGCACCTCATAAGGAACATTCATGCCATGTTTGGTTTCATTCCATTCAGTGGTTCTCTAAAAGAAGACATTTGTATGTATTTCCCATAGGGTCCTATGTTAAACTAAGTCCCCCGCTGGCGGCCATCTTGGATGATGGACCGACTGCAAAGTAACAACACTTGGTCAGCATCTCATAAGGAACATTCATGCCAAGTTTGGTTCCATTCCATTCAGTGGTTCTCTAAAAGAAGACATTTTTATGTATTTCCCATAGGGTCCTATGTTAAACTAAGTCCCCCGCTGGCGGCCATCTTGGATGATGGATCGGCTACAAAGTGACAACACTTGGTCAGCACCTCATAAGGAACATTCATGCCATGTTTGGTTTCATTCCATTCAGTGGTTCTCTAAAAGAAGTCATTTGTATGCATTTCCCATAGGGTCCTATGTTAAACTAAGTCCCCGGCTGGTGGCCATCTTGGATGATGGATCGGCTACAAAGTGACAACACTTGGTTAGCACCTCATAAGGAACATTCATGCCATGTTTGGTTTCATTCCATTCAGTGGTTCTCTAAAAGAAGACATTTGTATGTATTTCCCATAGGGTCCTATGTTAGACTAAGTCCCCCGCTGGCAGCCATCTTGGATAATGGACCGACTGCAAAGTAACAACACTTGGTCAGCATCTCATAAGAAACATTCATGCCATGTTTGGTTCCATTCCATTCAGTGGTTCTCTAAAAGAAGACATTTGTATGTATTTCCCATAGGGTCCTATGTTAAACTAAGTCCCCCGCTGGCGGCCATCTTGGATGATGGATCGGCTACAAAGTAACAACACTTGGTGAGCACCTCATAAGGAACATTCTTGCCATGTTTGGTTTCATTCCATTCAGTGGTTCTCTAAAAGAAGACATTTGTATGTATTTCCCATAGGGTCCTATGTTAAACTAAGTCCCCCGCTGGCGGCCATCTTGGATGATGGACCGACTGCAAAGTAACAACACTTGGTCAGCATCTCATAAGGAACATTCATGCCATGTTTGGTTCCATTCCATTCAGTGGTTCTCTAAAAGAAGACATTTGTATGTATTTCCCATAGGGTCCTATGTTAAACTAAGTCCCCCGCTGGCGGCCATCTTGGATGATGGATCGGCTACAAAGTAACAACACTTGGTGAGCACCTCATAAGGAACATTCATGCCATGTTTGGTTTCATTCCATTCAGTGGTTCTCTAAAAGAAGTCATTTGTATGCATTTCCCATAGGGTCCTATGTTAAACTAAGTCCCCCGCTGGCGGCCATCTTGGATGATGGATCGGCTACAAAGTAACAACACTTGGTCAGCACCTCATAAGGAACATTCATGCCATGTTTGGTTTCATTCCATTCAGTGGTTCTCTAGAAGAAGTTCAAAATGTAAAAAGTTAACGCCGACGACGGACGACGACGGACGACGCCGGACGACGGACGACGGACGCCAAGTGATGAGAAAAGCTCACTTGGCCCTTCGGGCCAGGTGAGCTAAAAAGGGCCCTATCGAACCTACACCTTTCATAAATTTAAAGTAAAGAGAAACTCAGTGAGTTTGAACAGAAATTTCAACCCAATAATGTACATTTTGTACATGCACTGTAGTAAAAATTTTCACAAGCCCCTCTATAATAGATATGACAATACATTGTAATCCCACATGTTTGTGCCTAATTTCCTTGTGTTTGTTACAGTCAAAGTTGAAAATTTTATCAGCTAAAAACTCTGCTACGAGGCGACCTTCTAGTGATAACAAAGTTATGTCTGAGACTCTATTAACTGTCAATAGACAGGGGAGAAATAT